TATAAATATATAAATATATGTGTATAATTAATTTAATTTAATTAATTTTATATATGTATATATATATATAATTAATTTAATTCCTTGCAAGTTTACTTAATTTAATTATTATAGTGTCCGCCCATTTAGCGTACTCCACCAATCAGAACCCTCAAGCATTCACTGGCCACTCCCACTCTAGATTATATATATATTTATTAGTCCTAGGCACGGTTGGTTTGCGCAAGTAAACGGGAGCGCGCATCACTTTTCCTTTGCGCGAGAGTGAATACAAAATTATTTTCAACCAGCCAAAGTGGCTAGTGGAGGTGTGTGTCTAACCCGCCACAGGTAAAATCAACCCGCATTTGGCGGGTGTTAATGTAAAGCCCTGATTGTGACCCAATTTGAATAGAAGAAAATGAAAAGAAACTACTCTCATTCATTCATTTTCTTTCAGCTTAGTCCCTAATTTATCAGGGGTGGCCACAGCCAACTATTCCAGCACATTTTATGCAGCCCTTTCAGCCACAACCCAGTACTGGGAAGCACCCATAGACACACACTCATACACTACGTCCAATTTATCTTATATAGTGCATGTGAAACCGGAGCACCCGGAGGAAACTCACGCCAACACAGGGAGAACATCAACATGCCGCTGGGTCAGTCTCACCTATGAAGAATACAGGTGAGAATGCAGGTCAGATTTTTCTAATGATCATCTCAGAGATGTTTCCAGAGGTTTAGCGTTCTTCTTTCTGTGTGTTTTCATCTGTCTACATGAAACTGCAGAGGTGAAACAGCAACGGACCATTCACAGAGTCTTCATAACTAAATTAAAACCCTGAGGAAAATGCAAATCAGCCATTAGTCGGCACAGAGAAATTAGCATTGTGAGCTTTATTAATCATCCAGATCAGTTTTAATGAGGGCAATTATTTGCATCTGCAGGTTAATCATTCGCTGATTAAATCAAGCTGGCTCGGGTTTTGTTTTACTGTGAGGTGATGTGGCATTTATAAAAAATGTAAACAATTATATATACATATATACATACATAAGTTCAGTCATCTGAACAAATATGCATTCAAAAGTGAAGCAAAAATAAGCAACGTAAATCTGCTACAAATGCATATTACACCATGCATCATAAAAATATTAAATATTATTTAAAAAATGAACTCACAATAATTATTATCATTTTTTTATTTAGAATGGATCTGTCCTTTGGAAATAAAACTATCCAGCAGCATTATACAGCCTGCAAAGATGGCTTTAGGGCGTGTAAATTGAGGTAATTTTTCCTTTTTGGTGAACTATTCCTTTATAGATACAAAAATGTTAAAAAGAAATGGGGTTTTGTTAGGTTGTAGTTGTGTTTGTATTGGTATTGTCAAGTAATAAAATTTGGCAAAATTTGCACAGTGCACCTTTACGAGCAGTCACAACATCCCATTAGACGTCAAGAAGCGAGCCTGCAAGAATGATGAGCGGAAATCAAGATTTATTTATGTTGCCAGAACAAAGAAATCCATCAGACTGACTGGAAATATAAACAACATTATCATCCCTCCTGCATCTGAAACAACAAATCAGTGCTCTCAGCAAAAACACAATTATTACAACCTTTAAATCCGAACCTGCAAACCTTCAGCACTAAAAACATGTTGCAAATGAATTTTAAAGCCATAATTTGGGAAGTCAATTTATATGGACTGATCGGATTTGATGTGTACTTAAAAGTAGACACATTCCCCCTTGCTGTTAACCACATTAAGTAGTTTAAAAGTAGTAAACAGCTACAAAAAAATCATGCAAAATAGCCCTATTACAAAAATATTGCTATAACACAACCAGACAAACACAAATCACACTCACCGAAGCGCTTAATCAGAATTGTCCCAGACAACTCGACATTACAAACAGCAAACTAATTAATACTACCCAACAATGGTCATACAAACATTAGATCTAATACACACACACACACACACACACACACACACATTTATGATTTACACGACAATCTGTCGAAACAAAGAACATATTCAACCAAACAAGGAAAGCTGCCTTCACAAAACAAAACAAGGCAAAACCCGGGCGAATCTACATACAGAAGGCCAATTCGCATTAAATTATACATTTAATAACATGAAGAGCTTATCAAACAGAGTCCTTATGAACTTCAGAACCTTTTATCATCAAACCTGCCTATCAAAATGCATTTAAATACCTACTAAAATGACATTATATCATTATAATCCTTTCACACACACTTTGTGGCTAAAATTACCACTCTAAAACCCCCAAAAGCTAGAAATCAATTGCAACTGCAGAAAAAAACAAGACATTATTCTTATACCTGGACTCAATTAAAGGGAATCCTAGAAAGGAATAAACAAAACATAAAAATATATAGTGCTTTTTTTTTTTTAAATATCAAGATTAATGTTTAAGATGAGGCTGGAAAGTATAAATGTACACACATGCACAGGAAAAACAACACAAGTGAATGTTTTGGGAACTATATATGACTGTATATATATATTATTATATATAATAACAAGGAATCTACTGTACCAGGATCAGATATGAATTACAATAAATACAAAACATCTCCTGTAACAGCGCTAAACAAAACAAATCCCACAATGCCTTAAAAGAAGCAGAACTGTACAGATCGGGTGACATGATGAACATTTGTCTGGAATGTGTGATTAGGAATAAAACACTGATATTATGATATTAAAAGTTCATTTTCTGTCTCGTTCCCTTGGTCATCATATAAATGATGATTAATTGATTATCATGCAGCATGCTTAACCAACCTCTGCAACATAACCAGACCCGAAATACTTGCACATTATCAGTCACCTGACAAACTCCTGAGAAATTTAAGTCCATAAAACCTGTCAGTTTATATTCAAACCTCGATTCCTGTACGATCACGACGTCCTAAAACCTACACAAACACACTATATTTACAATAAAAGGTGACTTATTTCTATTAATAAATTAAATGGTTCTGCTCAGAGCCTTCTGAGGGAATCTGGATTTAAAGGTGAAGCGCTGTTCAAAGGGAAGTGAAGTGAATCTGCGCCTTTTAGAGCCATGTAAGCAAATCTGGACTCAAAAAAAGCAAAGCGGATTAACACTCTTCAAAGTGGAGTGAATCTGTGCTGCGAATCCAAAAGTGAAGCGAAGTGAATCACCACTCTTCAAAGTAAAGTAAAGCAAATCTGTGTTGTTCAGACTTGCTTAAGCAAATCTAGATTCAAAAGTGAAGTGAATCCGCACTCTTCAACCTGAAGCAAATTGAATCTGCATTGTTCAGATTCATCTAAACAAATCTGAATTCAAAAGTGAAGCGAATCAGCACTCTTCAAAGTGAAACAAATTGAACCTGTGCCGTTCATGGATATCTGAGTGGATCTAGATCCAAAAGTATAGCAGGTGAATCACCACTCTTCAAAGTAAAGTAAAGCGAATCTGTACAGTTCAGAGTTGCTTAGGCAAATCTGGATTCAAAAGTGAAGTGAATCCGCACTCTTCAACCTGAAGCAAATTGAATCTGCATTGTTCAGATTCATCTAAACAAATCTAAATTCAAAAGTGAAGCGAATCAGCACTCTTCAAAGTGAAACAAATTGAACCTGTGCCGTTCATGGATATCTGAGTGGATCTAGATCCAAAAGTGAAGCAGGTGAATCACCACTCTTCAAAGTAAAGTAAAGCGAATCTGTGCAGTTCAGAGTTGCTTAGGCAAATCTGGATTCAAAAGTGAAGTGAATCAGCACTCTTCAACCTGAAGCAAATTGAATTTGCATAGTTCAGATTCATCTAAACAAATCTGAATTCAAAAGTGAAGCGAATCAGCACTCTTCAAAGTGAAACAAATTGAACATGTGCTGTTCATGGATATCTGAGCGGACCTGAATTCAAAAGTGAAGCGAAGCAAATCAGCATTCTTCAAAATTAGGTGAAGCAAATCTGCGCTGCTAAAATCCATCCGAGCAAATCAGGATCCAAAACTGAAGCGAAGTGAATCTGCAAGGTTACATCCATCTGATCAAATCAGGATTCAAAACTGAAGCGATGTGAATCTGCAAAGTTACATCCATCTGATCAAATCAGGATTCAAAAGTGAAGCAAATTTAATTTGCGTTATTTAAATCAGTCTGTGCAAATCAGGATCCAAAAGTGAAGCGAATCTGCAATGTTAAAATTCACCTGAGCTAAAAGGATTCAAAAGTGAAGCGAACTGAATCACGCTGTTTAAATTCAGGTTTAAATGTGAAGTGAATCTGAGATGGTTATGTCCATCTGAGGGAATTAGGCACCAAATGTAAAGTGAATTGAATCTGAGATGCTAATGTCCATCTGAGCTAATTAGGATCCGAAAGTGAAGCGAATTGACTCGCTGTCATTTCAATTACCTGTGCAATTCAGGATCCAAATGTAAAACGAAGTGATTCTGCGATGTTCAAAGCAATTCTGGATTTAAAAATGAAGCAAAGTGAATCGGCACTGTTCAAAGCCATCTGAGCAAATCTGGATTCAAAAGTGAAGCAAAGTGAGTCAGTTATGCATTCACACTTGGAATGAAGCACTCGGATGCGTCCATCAGAACTCCAGAGGGACGAGGTCACTGAAGTCGCAGTCGAACAGCTCACTGACGCCCTCATGATCCTCCAGGCCGAAGTGATAGTCCTGGCTGTGCGGCGGAGACAGGCAGATAAAGCTGTCCAGTGGGAGGCCGAGCCCGTCTGCTGCCCCGCTCCGCTCCAGAAGGAAATCAGAGTCCAAAGGAGACAAATCGAAATCTGGCATCGCACATATGCCAGAAAACGGGTCAGAGTCCAGAAACGATTCTGAAAAAGAGAACAAAATTAATATGATTAATTTGTTTTAACAAAATAAACCAAAATCTTATGCAGAAAAAATAAGATAATGAACTTTACAATTATAAATAACTTTCATAATTAAGATTTATAATATTTAATATTAAACTACTTTTAATGTGTTCATTTACAATTTAAATTATACTTAAAAATGAATTAGATAATATAAATGTTCGTGTAAATGCTATAAAAATCTAAAATGCACGTACTCAAATACAGTCAATAAGACAAACGTTATTTTTGAGCCAAAGTGACGAAACAATGACTGGTGAAAATGTTACTGACCAGAGTCTGTGTGCAGAGGCAGAGGGGAGGAGCTTGGCAGAGTCGTCGGTGTTGATGTCACTTCTTGTGAGGCGGGGTCAGACTTTGCTGGACTCTGATTGGAGGATTTAGCTGGACTGCAGTCAGTGACTGGACTACAAACGCCAGAACTATCTTCAGGACACAGGAACACATCGATTGGCCCTTTGGAGCTCTTCAGCGAAATCTGGTAACCCTGAAATACACAAAAAATATATATATATTTTAATTGCAATATTAAGATTCAACATGCATATTTATAGACAGTTAGAAGATATAGATTTAATATCGATAATAATAAAAAATAATATTACAAAAACCATTCACATAAATGGAAATTGTATTGTAAATCTTTTTTATGATTAAGATGTATCCCTAACACTATTATAAAATATCTTAATTTACATTTGACCATTAATGTTTAGATTTCTCATAAAAATAATTAATATTCATCACATTTTACTTAATATTCTAAAATTTCTTATACAAAATACTTATGCATTTTACAATGTTTAATAAAAAATAATGTCTGTGTATATATGCACAAATTATACAAAAAAGTATACAATGTCAATAAATTTCATATTTATACTTACAAAAATGATGCAATGTCAATATAATGCAGGTATATATGTAAGAAAATGATCCAATGTCAATATAATGCACATATAAATGTACAAAAATGATGCAATGTCAATATAATGCACATATACATGTACAAAAATGATCCAATGTCAATATAATGCACATATACATGTACAAAAATGATGCAATGTCAATATAATGCACATATACATGTACAAAAATGATGCAATGTCAATATAATGCACATATACATGTACAAAAATGTCACAATGTTAATGTAGTGCACATATGTACAAAATTATACAATGTCAATATAGTGCACATATATGTACAAAAATGACACACTATCATTATATTGCACATACAATGGCAATATAATGCTGATATACATGTAAAAAATTATATAATGGCAACTTAATGCACATATATACGTACAAAAATGATACAATGTCAATATAATGCACAAATATATGTACAAAAGTATGCAATGTCAATGTAATGCACATATGTATGTACAAAAATTATGCAATGTCAATATAATGCACATATACATGTACAAAAAGTATACAATATCAATATAGTGCACATTTATATGCACAAAAATGATGCAATGTCAACATAGTGCACATATATATCTAAAAAATTACAATGTCAATATAATTTGCATATATATATATATATATATATATATATATATATATATATATATATATATATATATATATATATATATATATATATATATATATATATATATATATATATATATATATATATATATATATATATATATATATATATATATATATATATATATATATATATATATATATATATATATACATATATATATACATATATATATATATATACATATATACACACACACACACACACACACACACACACACACAAATGACACAATTTCATTATATTGCACATACAATGGCAATATAATGCAGATATATATGTGCAAAAATTATACAATTGCAATTTAATGCCCATATATGTACAAAAATTATGCAATGTCAATATAATGCACATATATATGTACAAAATTGATGCAATGTCAAAATAATGCAGATATATGTACAAAAATGATCCAATGTCAATATAATGCACATATACATGTACAAAAATGATACAATATCAATATAGTGCACATTTATATGCACAAAAATGATGCAATGTCAATATAACTTGCATATATATGTACAAAAATGACACAATGTAAATATAGTGCACATATATATGTACAAAAATGATCCAATGTCAATTAGTGCACATACACATGTACAAAAATGATACAATGCCAATATTATACACATATAAATGTACAAAAATGACACAATATCATTATATTGCACATACAATGGCAATATAATCCACATATATATGTACAAAAATGATTAAATGGCATTTAAAGTGTGTGTTTGTGTGTGTGTGTGTGTGTGTGTGTGTGTGTGTGTGTGTGTGTGTGTGTGTGTGTGTGTGTGTGTGTGTGTGTGTGTGTGTTTCCTGACCTCGCTGGGTTCAGACACCTGCATGGCTGTCTCTGCCGGAGCTCGAATCACCATGATGATCTGATCTGGAGGATCGACTGTATTACGCAGATCCTGACACCTGACGTATCCCAGCGTAACCTCACGTTAAAGATCATCAAATTCACAAGTTAAACATATTACTACACAGCTCCAAACGGTTCAAATCAAGACCTAAACCAGTGGTCATCAAACTCAGGGAGCACTGGCACTCAAATACATAGCCCAATAAAATCAATGCAGCTTCAATATACTACAAGCCAATAAAAATGAATGTAGCTTTATATAAATGACTATAACTAAAGTTAACAATTCCAGAAAACATTAAAGTCATAAAACATGCTCTCCCAATATGATTTATCCGATGTTTACGTATGGAATAGCATAGGGAAAAAATGAAAAGACTGAAACGTTTGTGAAAATGCACAAAAAAATAAACTAAACAAACAAAAACGAACAAAAATAAACATTGAAAGTGAAAATTTGTACAAATTATTAGAAAATACAACTTATCCAGATGATTTGAAGAGCTCCATTTTTAATTATAGATCGATTTGGTTGATTTGGTAAGTGAGGATCTGCATAAATTAGAGCTATAGGTAAACACCACAGACAGGGGGCGTAGATTTAGGGTGGACGGAAGTGACACATCCCCACCAATATCCACCGACCATTGAAATGTCCCTACCAATAATTTAATTCACTTAAAAAATTACAAATTAAATAAATCACGCTTTCACCTATAACCTTGACACCAAACTTGTTCCTGGAGGGCCGGTGTCCTGCAGATTTTAGCTCCAACCCTAATCAAACACAACTGAACAAGCTAATCAAGCTCTTACTAGGTATACTTGAAGCACCCAGGCAGGTGTGTTGAGGCAAGTTGGAGCTAAACACTGTGAACAAGCTAATCAAGCTCTTACTAGGTATACTTGAAGCACCCAGGCAGGTGTGTTGAGGCAAGTTGGAGCTAAACACTGCAGCGCACCGGACCTCCAGGAATAAGATTGGTGACCCCTGACCTAGACCGTAGAGACACGCAGAAAGGGTTAAATCACGTTCTCTCTTCGAGTCCTCCTGCCCCCAAAACGCATATAGACATTTTGATTGGCTGTGCCTTTCCCTGCTATCATGCGAAAGGCTGTGACTGCCTTCAGATACAAGCAGCGCCAAATGCAGTGGACTGTTTTTATCCCGTGCTAGGGTATGGTGTGTTTGGTGACACACAAGTGAGGATGACGGCAGCAAAAAAAAGGTGGACATAAGGTGCTTTTTTTTTTAACGAAAGTGTAAGTCACATACTGTAAACACAAGTTCACTACTGCATGAGTCAATAAAGATGCACACAGTCTATCGCTATATAACAGACTGATATAGTCTGTGAATAATATGCCCTGAAAACTAACTGCAGAATAAACAGCTAATGTTAATGTATATGATCCCGACCAGTTCTCCAAATCTCTCAGAGTAGCATGTTTGATTTCAGTTGAAACATTAGCTGCAAATCGCATACTTATGCACTATTTTATGCCATTTTGTAGTATAAATAGTGTAAGTAGTGTGTTCACACTGAAAACTCTAAAAATAATAAGTGCACTTTAATTACCCGGATGATGCACTCATTCAGCCGCTAAAATGAAGTGTGTTATGATGGACACTTCACGCACTCAACGACAGCAGGTTTGTTTACGTAGCGGAAGGGGCGGAGCTATCGGACACACATGTTGAATAACTTTATTTATTTTGGATGGTGAAAGCAAAATTCTCCCAATAAACGCATATAGTGCCTCCCGATGGTGAATGCTGTTATACTAATGACAGGTATTATTTGATAGTCTGGTCATTTATTTCACTAATTTGGCAACCGTCAAACATCATCAGGGTAACAGTTTGAATTTCCGCTTAAAAAAAACATTAGTCAGCCATTTGGGACGACACTACATACATATACTATCCTGTTAAGTGTGTAAGTGCATAAGTACATAGTGCATGAGTGCATAGTGTGCCATTTGGGACGCAGCAATTTTGTCAGGCAAAATACAGCCTGTGTATAGGCATAATACTGATATACGAGACATGCTTCATTTGCACTGTGGCCAAAATAAATGAAAATCTTTATTAAACTCTCTTAACCAGTTAATAAACATTTTGTTTTACCATTTTACTATCAGACTTGTAGCCAGCTTATTAAGAGGGGTGGCTATTTTGTTTCTGAAAAACTGAACCTTTTTGGAGTTATTTGCCTGATTTCTATTTAATTATGATGCATAAATATTGCATTTTAGTGACATTTTAAGAAATAATTTTGCTGGATTATCTTGTCAGATGGTTATCATAACAACACTGTTTGATGTACCAAAAAATATCTCCAACTATTTTGTCAAACTGCTTACCATACTATCTTAAGTCTGCATTTAAAGGGTCACGAAACACATTTTTTGAGCTGTTGGCAGTCGTGTATGTGTCCCACACTGCCAAAAACACTATTAGGCAGAGGTGGGAGTAAGTCACACATGTGCAAGTCACAAGCAAGTCTCAAGTCATAACCTTCAAGTCTCAAGCAAGTCAAGTCACTGCTTATTTCAAGTCACGTCAAGTCGTAGCTTTGTCTAGCAAGTCACTTTCAAGTCAATCTAATTATATATATATATATATATATATATATATATATATATATATATATATATATATATATATATATATATATATATATATATATATATATATATATATATATATATATATATATATATATATATATATATATATATATATATATATATATATATATATATATATATATATATATATATATATATA